CCTCAGGAAAATAACTTTGGCCTGAAGCTAGGAGGGGGAAAGGAGGGGGAATGGAGGAGGAGATCAGATTCTCTGTGTAGCTGTGGATTCAGGCTGACAGAAGGCCCAGGAAAGCTTGGGGAAAAGCCAAGGAATGAGGCATCAGATGAAGCTTAGAGCAGTCTGAGATGGAGGGAGCTGCTGACAAAGTAAAACACCATGCTTTGTGCTCTAACTCTGACTTTCTTCAGGGCTAGTCCTCTTCATATGCCTATCTTAGGAATGTGTCTTTTTGTTTATGATCTGGCAATAGCAGCATCAATGCTCGGTGAAAAGCAGCTCCATAATAGGAAGCTCATGGAGACACAGGAGGGGGGTGTTGGAGTTTTTGTCTGTCCCTCCCTCACTAAAAATGCTAGCAACAAAAATATTATGAAGACTATAGCTTTGTGTGGAAGACCTAACGGTTCTCACAGAGACTGGGTGTGTTGTATTCTTTGTGTGAAGGAGACAAGAAGTAAGGTGTTTTAATTGCATATAGCAGTTCAACAGCTAATTAAGCTCCAACTGATGCTCTTGGTGTGTGATTAGAATTTGCATATGTAAATGATGGGGGAAGTGGTATCAGCAGGTTTTCTTGTTTTATCATCTACTCCCTTATCTATAGCTATGGGACCTTTTCTGAAACTCGCAGCTTGGAAGAAGCTGGGTCTGTCAGCTTGCTTTAACAGTGCTGCTGCTGATGGGTGAGACATGGCAGCGTAGTGTGGCTTTGTGAGCGCTCACTTGGGTGTCTTTGGGGGTGGTCCCCCCCCAAATGTCTGACCTGTATGGTGGCTCATGGCTTCTGGCAAGACCTGAAAATCACGCTCCCTAGTCTCCATGGCACTTCAGGAAGCTCTTACAGCAGGCTGCGTGGATAATGGGGATGTCATGAATTGCCTATGCTGCACAGTATTATTATCACAAATTTATCAGCACCGTACAGAAATGACTTCCCTGACTGCGGTGTAGACATGTTCTTAAATTCACTGGCTGTATTTTCAGACGGTGTGATTCCGTACAGCTACGCTGTCTTACGTCGCGTAGGAGAACCGACTTCTCCGGGTCCGAGTTGTGGGCAGTTGTACCACATGTGACTCACGACTGCCGCCCAGTGGCCAAGAAGGGCTTTTTCTTCCCTGGCTTGCCCTAATTTTTCCAGGGATCAGTAACTCCCTTGTCTCTTGCTTTTATCTGACTTTGCCCTGCTTTGATTTTATTTGCCTCCGCTGCAGCATGTAAGGCTGTATTGCATTACTTTTCTGGTGACGAGAGTTCGTTCCACTAGCTTTTTTAACAAGGGCTGCTAACTCTGCCTATGTATGGAACCTCTTCCTGAAGAAGAGTATTAGGCTAAGTATACAGATGAAAACGTATTGCTTGTAACATATTAAATAAAATAGGAGAAAATGTGGTGTAGGGAATGATTCTGCCATAATCTAAGAAGGCCAAGCAGTTGTTTTCCAAGTCTTGTTTTTAATTTCTGCCGAGGAGCAGGGGGTGCAGTCAGAGGAGAGCTGTTGTCCCCTTTGGTTAGTGCTGCAGGAACAGGGTTGTGCGGTAAGGCTACGTGCTTCTCAACAGCCTTCCCTCCTCTGCTCAGCGTTGTGTGTATATTGCTTTTGTTTGCCTTTACTTCAGCCATTTCAAAGCACTTTGCCAGGGCTAGAGCATCCTTGCAGCACCTCTGCAAGGGGTTTTTTTACATGCACTTAGAACTGGACAAAATTCAGCCCAGGCTACTCAAAGGGGCATCTGTTATTAGTGGTGTCTTTCCCTTTAGTTGAATTTAGGCAAAGATGATCCGCCTGGTTCCCACTGATCCTCGGTTTGGAGCAAATGTTGAGGAATTCATTAGGGGCTTCTGGTTTTCAGCATCTCTGAAAATTGGGTGGCTGAGTTTGACCTCCCTTCTTAAATGAAAGCACCCGGTTAAAAGTATTTTCTAAGAACCCGAGTTTAAAAGTCTGAATGCTCTAATGACCAAGTCCAAACCACAGCACAGGCATCCGGATTCTCAGTCCCCTGGGACTCAGAAGAATGCAAACTCAGTATTCTCCGTAGGAGCCTGTTCAATTTGATCGGATATTTAGACAGCAGTAATTAACCCCTTGGAGACGTTAAGGTACATGCATCCTGAAACAATTAAGTCTAAGATAACAATGGTTATCTACAAACATGTGCCTAACTTTGAGCAAGTGAATATGCAAACAACACTGATGAAGCACTGTTTGTTTAAATGAGTATTAGGATCTTCTGCAGTTTGCTTTCCGCAGGTTTTAAGGCAAGAGGACAAGCACACGTGCCCGGCAGGAGGGAGCAGAGCTGCACAGAATGAAAGGTTCAGGTTTACTGACTACATTTCACATAATCCTATGGGATTTAAAAATAAATCCTACCACATTGTTGGATTTGCAGTGTCTGACTCGCCCTTTTCAAAGTGCTGTAAGCATAGAGAATGTGACCATTTATCTGTGAGGCAAAGCATCGTATCTTAAGTGACGCTGTTCCTCCTTGAAGACTTTCTTTGCAAGAAGTTAATTATACTGACATGTGCTCCAAACTGGAGTTTGGACTGGAGGGATAAATGGAAAACTTTTCCCTCTTCAGCCTGTGCTGTGTTGTCAAATTATCCTTCTCCTAGTCATGTTCATAAATTGCCTTTGAGTATTGTCTACTGTCTTTATTACCGCACTTATTGGCACGTTTTAGATTTTATGGGACACAATGCAGAGGAGTATATGCAGGGTGCAACGGTGGCTTTTTAAAATCCCAAATCGTTGCATATCAGAGCCTGGGAGATGGCTTTGTGGACATCTGCCATGAACTGCTCTCTGCTGTTAAATGTCACCTGCTGGACTGCAGTGAGTTTCTGCAGTGCTGGAGGATGGTACGGGCTGGAAGATTTGTAATGAGGCTGTTCTTGCTGTATTTGTTCTTCAGAACTCTCATCCCAGCAGTGTGAAGCAAGCGCGTACATATGCTGTGGGGGTGTGCTGGCAGGCGCAGGCTCTGGGCTGGTGTAACAAGACATAGAGCAGCTCCGCTTGATAACAAGCTGTAAAGTTTCTATTGAAGCATCGGGTGTAGTTGAGGCCTTGTCTTAACTCTGTTTGTTCAGATCACTTGTACTCCAGTTTTGCAGTAAGCATCGCGGGTGTTTCTTTGGTTTGTTAGGTGGCTGAAGTTTCCTTTCCTTTCACTCGTGTACCATTGGCATTAAAATGCACATACTGCTACTAAAAAGTTTCTTTCCAGTCCCTACTGGAAAGGGAGTTAAATACAGAAATGCCAATAAGAAGGCAAAGTAGGGCATGACAAGAGCTGAAAGATTTTGTTAGGATACTGTATAATGACTAAAAATAAGTGAAAATCCCTCCTAAACTTTGATTCTTGCCTCTTTCTGTCGTATTTAGCCTCAGCCTGAGCAAAATGAGAACTGATAGTGTGTGAAGGAATTAAAAGAGCTTGTGTAATACCAAAAAGGAAGGCGGTTAGCAGCAACAATTTCTCTCCTCTGCTAGGGCTGATGTGTGCTAATGCAGATAATTCAGATGCTTTTGCCCGAGATGTGCCTAAGTGAACTCTGCATCCTTTCAAACTGCTACGGAATAAAGCCTCTGGGGATCGGTGAGAGGGTAACAGCAACTGAGGGACAGACATTGCACGGCTGGTATTCTTCTTAAATAGACTTGTATTCACCTGGATGAGCCAGGGCATCCTGCCATTTTTGTTAGAACAGAGGAAATAATCAACCTTGATTTTAAAGTTCTGAACAATAGGGACCTCGCCTTATTAAAGCTGTAGTGTTTAATGGCCTTGCTCTTTTTAAAAAATTGTACTTTAATCCCCCTCTACACTTCTCTACTTTCAAATGCTTGGGATTGGCTTCTTACTCTCTAAAGTTTTGATTCTTCTCTATGACACTGGCTTGACCATGTAAGAAATCTGGGGTTAGGTGGCAACCGCAGGATTGGGGAGGGGAAAATTGTTGCTAGGTGACCACAGTCCAAGATAAATGCATCCTTCCAGTCCCCACTTGTTTAAAAAAAAAAAAAAAAAAAAAAAAGGTTAACTTTGTAACAGCAAGCTTGGTGCTGGGTCGAAGTAGATAGTCTTTAGCCTAGAGCTGACAAATCTGACATAAACACTGTCAAATGCCCTCGTTAATTCAGCAGAAACATTACTGTATTCCTAGCTTGATTCATGTCAAATTTATCCTACTGGAAGACTGGACACAGAGAACCTGGGACTAGCTATCAGGAAAGCACAGACTCTTTCTACGTGTCCCTGGCAGCGTAAATGGAATAAATCTGTCATCTCCCTTTACGATGCCATTGCAGCATTAAGGAAGGGAAACTAAGCCTGCTTTTTTTGCATCTTCAAGGCTGAGTTAGAGGCATCTGGGAGGAGACTGCTGGGAATCTTGCACTGTCTTCTGTGGATCAGTAATGGTGTTTATATTGTGTACGCATCTTTGAAGCAAAGCTTCGTCCACCTGAGTGTTCAGTGCGATGCAGCCAGTCCTCCCTATGCACTGGAAAAATGGAGGACTCTCTTTTAAGAACAGAACAACTCTGTAAATCCTACAAATTAGACTCCTCTTCCCCAACAAAGGCAAATTTGTTGCATTCTCTTTTCTTGCTACTTTTCATGCCGCATGAATCAAGATTTTTGTGAGGCATCCTTCCCTGAGGAAGGAAAGGAAGGCATACTCTGTACGCCTTATTTGTAACGTACATACGCTGTATATAGATGTTTATAGATGATAAAGGGTATAGTAAGGAGAAACTAGCCAGAGTTGATCCATGCTAAAGGTCTTTAATTGAAAGATATGTTCACCAATTGATCTGTTTCAGCATCTGAATCATCAAGAACGAAACTCTGGAAAGAGGAGATGCTGGGGAGGAACAGCATTGAGGCTGGCTTTGTGCAGCAGCTATCAAGCATCCAGACTTGCTTCAAGAATGGTAAGGTTTTCAGGCCTTGTAATTGCTGCGGCAGTATTTAAGGCCCACGAGGTGCAGGACATCGAGTCTAAAGCATGAATCTTGATTGTATGGGTATCGGGCTCCTTTAAAAACAAAAAAAGGAAACAAAAATACCATGAGGTAATACCTAAGATGGTGTTAAGTGATCTGTGCGTTCATTGGCAGCCCTTAATACCTGGAACATTGCACTCGCATTTTTCATCAAGTTGAGCCATCTCAAGTACCAAAGCAATTACCAAAGCAAAGCAAGCAGCGAGGGGGTGGAAGTGCTGCTATGTCAGCATGCAACATCCTATGCCTGAGCTGCAGAGCATCTTTCTCGTGACAGGGTCTGCAGACAATCAGCTTGCAGTAAGGCTCGGAGTACTTTGCTGGTGCTTCGGGATTAACTCCTCTGAGTTAAACTTCCTTTATATACTTAAAGAATTTCTTTTTTGCCTGACAATACAAGAAATTCTATTGCAAGTGATCAAAATATGATTATGGCACCCACAGCAAGACAGCTGATTTACACTAGTCTCCATAGCAATAGCTGGCATTCTGCAACAGTGTATTTTTACTGCTCTGAGCGAGCAATGTTTTTAATAATTGCTGCAAGAGAAATATTTTACACGTATGAGTGAAAGATTCTTTTGTAGTCACCAAACACAAGTGGATCTTTAACTCAGAAATGAGCGATCACAATGACATGCTATTTAATATTCTTTTGGTCTCCCAGTACAGAGGGGCACTGTTGCACTCTATACTGTTAGTATCTGTTACTGTGCATTATACAGTTATGCTAGTGCTAGTTAATAGGCCCTCTCGGGCTTTGATGTTATCGGACGTTATCGTTATGTCTTGATGTTGTCGTTATTCATAATCCTATGAAGTGGAGGTCATTAAACTCCTAGGTGCTGTGATCACTCCACCTCTGAAAAACCTCCAGGGAACGAAGCAGCTTGGCTTAGTATTGTGAAGTGTTTGGTGGGATTTCTCAGTAAGCTTATCAGCAGTCTCTGACCTGAAGGAGAGTGGTCCTTAGCACTACCCTTTTTCTTTACCTTGGCGTTACAGATGAGGTCAATTGCAAAATTCTGGGCCAAAACTTAAGCTACCTTAAACTTTACTAAACAGAGTAGTAAGGGTTTGGATCAGATCATTTATGAAGGTTGTGACTCAACACTGTTCCAATCCTGATCTGCAGAGATACCGAACCCTTTCTGCAGCTCCTGAGGTTCTTGATTTGCGTCTGTCTCTAGTTGGAACAGCAGCATTTGTGTATTATTCCCCACGGAACAAAAATGCCTGGTTAGTTACAGACATAATTCATTAGCTTGCACTCACCGTTAACTTCATAAGCTATGTAGGTTCTGAGTCCTTTGCACAGAGCGTAGACATCTGGTCCGTAAGACTTGAGGTCGCGGATAGGTCTCCTGATGACGAATGTGATCTGCTTTGTGTGTGGTCCTTGACCTTTCAGGTTCTGAACATCAAATAATGTCATTCAGCAAGATCAGTACCTTGATCCATGTAATGCTATGCATATTCCTATTTCTGGAATGATGACTCAGTGCTTGGTGTTTTACTCAAAACTGTACTTAGTCTTTTAATCCACTGTGTGACTACAAGGCCATTAGCAAGCATTGAAAGCAGCTCCTATGGCAGATCTTTAAGTGAGTCAAGGTGGAGGGAGGCTAGGGAGAACTGGAAACTCAGTTCAACAGCTGAACAGGAAAAGAGCAGCGCAGTCAGCACTTTTAACACAGACCTCCTACAAAGTATTTCCGCAGTCACGTACTAACCTCTCACCCTAGAGGTACTTGGGTTGTAACCTGGAAGCATGGAAGGAGAAGGCTATTCATTCAGTCTTCTAAAATGGGAACCAAAGAGGACAGCAGCAATGCTTGGCAGATACATTTACGCTAAAATTATTTGCAAGTAGTGTTTATGACCTCTGAGCACTCCGAGTGTTTTAGTGGGACAGGTTTTTTCTGAACTGCTCTGGAGTGCTTCATTTCAAATGAATTTCAAATATATTTTCCTACTCGAGTGCTTTGTCATCTGGACAAAGTGTCTGGATGCCTGTATTTTCTCTTATGACCTAGGCTTCCTGCTGGTTTGTGTATCTCATTATTCAGCTACAGGACTCCCGTTCTGGCTCATACAATGAATATGGAGGAAAGGCTGTTGAATTCGAGATGCTTGCTTACGCCCTAAAGGAAAATGGAGGTCTGAACAATAGCATCTGCAAAGCAATGTTCCGAAATGAAAAATGCAATTTTGTATTGAAATGACTCAGAGCTATCTTGAGATATTGCTATCCAAAAATAATTAATGCCATTGAAGGTTTCCTAATATAAACTGTTCCTTAGCAACCTGCAAACCTAAAGTTCCTCAGAGAAAGAAAGCGTAGCTGGAGAGGGGAATGAGGCACCTACTCTTTTTCTTTTGAAAAACCATCCCCATGGCAAATTCCCAAGCCACATCACTGTTCAGAAAAACAACCCTGCCACTTGTGAAAAATCTCATCCTCTCAAGAAAGAAGAAGCAGTTAAGAAACAGCTTGATGAACTCCAGGCTAAAGACACGCTTAGCAGGGATGACTGGGATTGACACAAGCTTTCAAAATGATGGTGGAATTTTATCAAAGGGTTCCTGAAAGCCCGCTCCAATATGCTTCCTTCTTGCTGGTAAGCAAGGAGTTGAGAGAAGCTTCAGGGGGCACAGAGATGCACCGTAGTACAAGCAAGCCTGGGACTACAGCTAGTGAATATTTTTGCTCAATTCTGTACTTTTTTCTTCCCCACCGTGCCTTCTTGCCCTTTAAAGCCGGGATTTTTATAAGGACTCAGTTCTCAGACTTCAAAAGAAGCACTGTCTACAAAAGGTTAGTATGCTGAATGCTGAGATAATTTTTAAAATGTCTATGCTAATTCTGCAGGCTGAACTCATGCTAATATGGTGCTTAGTTCTTTTGAAAAAGTTTTGAAAGCTTGAAATCTTATTTAAACTTCTTTCCTCATCACTGGATGACTTGGTCCTCCTCAAGCAGAGCTGCCTAAAGAAACGATTGTTTTTAGCCTGCAAAGAATGTGAGATTATGAAGAGTACCATGCCAAAAATCTAAAAATCTCTAAACATAAAACAGTGTTAAAAAGCAGTCAATCTAAATCTTTTAAAACATTATAAAAATAATCTAAGCGATCTACAACATTGAAAACCAGGAAAACCCTCCGCTGCAAGCACTGAAACAGGGTATTCTAACTTTTCAAAGGTTTCAAATTCTGTTAATGTAAAATGTCATTGAAATTGATACAACTTCATAATGAATGGTGTGATCTAAATGGCTTTTAAAGTAACTGTTGGTTTAAAAGCTCTTCTAAATAGCAATGTCTCTGACACTAGTTTACTTTGCATTACTGTACAACTTTACAAGTAACGACTCCTTTTTAATCTTACTGTGGTCGCTTCAGCCAGTCTGGGAAGTGCATCAAAGTTGGGCATCTCCTTTCTGTTCATTGTGGAAATGAAGCAAGCTTTCTCTGGCAGCATTTTGGTGGCAATAATGCCCTGTAAAATAAAGTTACTGACAACTAGGAATTCAGTTTTTAATTATTAAGATTGGAATAAAGTCTGTATTAAAAAATAAATGCAGATAGCTTTTTTTACCCCAAAACTAGGACTCAAAATGTTAAGAATAAAGAAATGAGTCCTGTATTTCGGCCAGCTTTGTAGGAGCTAGCCTCCTTGTACGTTTTCTGAAAAAGCACGGTCCTTGCCACTCACCCTGTCGTAGTTCCAAAGGGTTGTCCATGACCCATGGGTGCTCTTTTCCTCGATAGCTGCCAAGTCCCATTTCCTATTGATGCTCAGAAGCTGGTAGCCTCCATCAATGGTGACTTGCTTGCTTATGTCTGTATTCTGAAACTGGAAAATAAAATTAAACAACACTTAGACTTTCAAGTTAGTCAGTTATCTCCCCGAAGCTTTAGAAAATCACTGCTCTAATAGAATAAATGCTGGCCCATAGGGAGCACCTTTAGTGACCACAGTATTTTCAAAATGACCAAGAATCAAGCCTGGGGCATTCTGGAGTAGCTGTAAGAATTCTTTTAATAGATTCAATGAATAATTTCTGTATCTTACAACTGTCATCTGGTGGGTTTAGTTTGATGCATGAAAGAAGTTTTAGATCCCTTTCCTCCAAAGGGATGGGGAAAGAAGCAAGGAAAACTCAAGAAGCAGGGAACATAGAAACAGCTGCAATGTATGTGTAACTTGGTCACTATACTCACGTAATCAGCAAGGGCTGGAGTCAGCAAGAGTCCAAGAAGGACGGTAGTTGCAATCTGAAATGAAAATTGAAAACAAAAGTGTAACTGCAGGTCTGGTTGACAAATCTGATCATGAGAATCCTAGTGCCTTTTTCCTAATCTGGTGTTTAAGTGTACTCCTTGGATCTTTTTTTTGCTTTCATACTGGAATTACAGTAGTCACCTAAAGCGAGTCATCCTTGCTTTACCCTAGAATAGTGCAAACTAGACACATAGTGGATTGCTTTTTTTTTTTTCAAGAGCTGAATCTGAAGTTGCTTCTGAGACCTGTGCAGTCCTATACAGATATTTTACAAGAATGAGGAGAAGGAATTTACATTTCTTCTCCTTAGGCACTACAAGAAATTGGTTGATCCATTAGTGCATTGCTCCAGTTTTGCAAAAGCATTGACAAAAATGGTCATGGATTAGGCTTCTTCTAGATTGAATAATGTATAGTTAAACCTTTAAAAAAAATCCTTACCTCTTTATCTGATAGGTTAATAGAGTGCGAGTTGCTCACTCTGGAGGAGAAAAATCTCCCCAGAGAATACCTTTTTGCTGTAGACAGGCACTTCTGAGATAAAGGCAATGGTTTCAAATCAAAGTTTTAGTTTGAGGGGAAAAAAAGCATGCATACTCACGGTGAGTTTCATCTTGACTGCAGAGCTGATGCTAGTGCAGGTAGAATGAACAAAGTGAACTGTACACCTTATATATGTTTTCAGAAGTAGGTGGAACAGTTAAGTGTTGAAATAAAATTATTTTGTAATTTGTATCCCTGTCTGCATGTTACTAAAAATTATTTCCTGCTGCAACTACTTCATAAATATGGGGATTGTACTTCTGCAAACTTTGACCTGCCAGAGTCTGATAATTATCAGATAAGAATCCATTTGCAGTGAAAAATTAAATATGTTTTACTTTTGAAAAGTCACCTCAAGACCAGAGATAGCCTAGGGTTTAAAAAAAAAAAAAAAAAAAAGCCTTACAGTAGGCAAAATAAGAGCCTTTGTGCCTTCCAAAGTGTACTGTATGTTACCATGTAACATACATGGAACCACACCATAGGGCCCACCAAAATATATGGCCCAAATACAACATTGCCACTGAAAACTGTTTTAGGTAAACAGGCACTTCAAGCTGAAATATTACATACATGTGCAAGTCTGTGGCTGTCTCTTTCTTATTTTAAGTGGCAACAATAATTTTTTTTCCACCTTGCCTCAGCTTATTTCCTGTGGTGATGTAAATACTTATTGAAGAGGTGATCATTCAGTTGGGGAGGTTTTTGAATACTTGGGTTTTGTGTCAAGTTGCTCAGTTTCATTTTGTGTGCAACCCGAGTCTGTGGCAGGGAATCACTGTAAAGATTCCAAAATTACTTTTCAACTGGAATCTGGGACATTATTTAAAAAAAATAGGGGGGTTAATATATAAAAATCTCTTCTAACCAGTCCTGAAAGTGCAATATTAAATTAAGTCGGGTCTCAGTTTCATTGAGTCGAGCCTGCAAACCCAAAGGGACATTTTTGATGCACACCGTTATGCCAAACGGTGGTTGCGTTCCTGGTTCTTTACAAGCATAAGCGCTTGTACGCATTTGTGTGAAAAGACGTGGGCTTGTGCGCAGGCTCTGTAAGCAGACCGCACTCACCGTCGCCCGCTTGTGGCGCCGCTCGGGAGAGGAAAGAAACACCCGAGAGAAACGTGGAGAAAACAGCCGGACAGGAATTAAACCTTTGCCGAAGGAACAAAAGAGCTTTTGCTTTTGCTGAGGTGCGGGAGAACCGGGGCGGAGGGCAGGAGAAGAGCAGAGCTGAGGCGGCGTCGGGCGGGAGGGCTCTGAGGCGGGAGGGGAAGCATAACGGTCGGGAAAAACGGCGGGAAAGCTTTGCTGAGGCGGCGGCGAGGCCGGCGCTGCTGCGCCTTGGTGACTTTGGCAGGAGCAGTCCCGGCACGTTTACGTCACTCCAGCTTTATTAATTTACAGTTATTGAAGTATTTTTCCCCGAAAGACTGTTGTTAGACTTGCTGTCGGTGTCTCAAATGAGAATATCTATTTTTGTCTTTAAAAAAAAAAAAATTCCCTCAGAAATCGGGGGTCTCTCAGCATCCTGAATTTGTCTTAAAATACATCAGGGTATTCAAATATTTTTATTAGATTATATATATATATATATATGGCTTTTTAATTATACTCGACACACTGTTGAACTTTTTTCTGTCAATACAGTTTTTCACATGTTTTTAAGTGTAAATGCAGTTGAATCTTCATATTCTGCCTGCTATGGGATAAGAGAAAAATAGAGCAGTAGGATTTAGGATAAGATCCTGTGACTTTGCAGTGCTGATGTGGCATGCTGATGGGTGGCCCTCGGAATTCAAATCACAATTTTAATTAAATTAGGGAAGGTGAAGATCTGGTATTTTCCAGACAGCCCAAGTTACTGACGTGATCGTTGTAGATCATGGAAATTGTGTTTTGTCATAAAGCTCAGGCCTCATTCTTGTTGAGAAGGATCTTTTCTTGCAAAGTAAGCAACTCCAATTTTCTGTGCTGTTAAGAAGATCTGTATATTTCTGTACTTACACGGACATTGTGAGAGTCACAGGACTGATGTCTCTTCAGGGTCACTAGAGTCTTTGCTGTCATGTCTCTGCTTAGCAATCTCTTTTTGAGTCTTGTTCTCTTCCTGATTGGTTTAAGCCTGAATCAATTTAAATTTGAATAACGAACGTTGTGAAACGTAATGACATCCCGATTAGAGCAAGAAACCTGCCAGAATGTAATATTGGGATTAAATTCCTACGGTCTGGAAGAAGCAAATAGAAGACGTTTTATTGGTTCAGTAGTAGTTCCCCATCTTCTGTAAAGTTTTAATGGTTACTGTAGGACACGTGGTTAATTTAAGCTTTTCATGGAATAAAAAAAGCTTGGAGATGTATTAAGCATCACAATGTGTAATATTATAGTCAAATAGGAATCGATGTGCATGAAGCTAAAGCAGTTTTGCGAGAAGCCGGACCTTGTTGCGGATGTTTTGTGCCCTCTGGTTAAAGTTTTGGCCGTAAATGAGATGGTGCTGGGGCAGGCGGCGTCCCTTGCTGGGAGCGTCCGTGCCCCGCTGGTCCCTGCCGAGGGGAATGTGGCCCCTCCGCTTCGGGCGCGGCAGAGGGTGCCCCTGCTTCCCGGCAGGGCTGCTGCCCGCTTGGCACGCAGGGCCGTGGGATGCCGTGCTGCGCCACAGGCCCTGCCCGGGCCAGATCCCGGCCGCCTCGGGGGACTTCAGATCGTCATCTGCTCCCGAGTCTGGCCCGTAGCCTTCAAGGGCTCGAAGGCCCCCAGGAAGACATTTCCCAGTGGGTTAGCGAAGAGGGCTGTGCCTGTTTTATCTTGGGGAAGATGCAGGGTAAAGCTGGAAAAGGAGAGGAGATTCTCTCCAGAAATTCCCAGGGAAGTCAGTCAGGAAGTTTGTTTAAATACTGCAATCATGTGGTTGCTTTTCTTTGGAGGTGCTAAAATATTTTTCGGTGCAGTTTTGCTTTGGTTTTAATAGAGTTAACTATTCAAGACCCCAAAACCAGTCTCCTGAGCAGAACAGGCTGCTGCATCCTTTATCTAGAGCCACCCTTGACTGTTCCTGAATGGGTAAAGTGTCTCTTAGAGTAACTCCTTTCAAACTCCAACAAAAGGGCCACTAAGCAAGGAGGGAAGGTGAAGGTCTGGTATTTTCCAGACAGACTTACTGAGGTGATCATTATAGATGAAGAAACTAGTCCCAGCCATTTTGCCTTAGTTTAGGCCTAACTATAATTTGATGCTTTCAAATTTCCAGCTGCACTTTTAATTGGTTAGGGTATGCTTTTTTGCTTCCTGTGTTAAATGCTTATCGAACATTAAGTAACATCTGTATTCAACTCCGAACTGCGTTTAATACACTTTTTAATTGTGTTACTTGCAGCTTGATTTCTGGGTTGGTCAGAGCAATAGTGCGTCTGTCTGTTTGTAATTGGCCATATTACATTGCAATGCTTATTTTTAAAATAAAACATTGTAATACTTAGTTGTTAATATGAAGTTAAAATAACTCAGATACGCTTATTTCTATAAATCTGGACTTCTGACCATATTATCTTAAATATGGTTATGCAACAGGTATAGCACTGTTTGCTTTTAGTAGTGATGAATAATTGCTTAAGGCAGCACATGAAATCCCACTGGGCAATTGTACAGGATGGGGTTTCAATGACGGTGTTGGGATTTTGCAAGAATGCGAGCTTAGCAACCTGTGTTTCGAATTGCTCCCAGTTTTTTATAGGATTAGCAAAAACACAGCGCGGACAAATGTAGGTTGATGATAAATTTTTTACTGAGACACAATAGCCTCCACACAGAGCAGAGGAAGAGACGGATAAATGATTGAAAATGTGATCAAGAGAAGATTATCAAGGAGAAAAATCTTGTTTGTGGGTACGCAGTTCTATGAATTCTCTTCCTCAGAACTTTGTCAGGAATAATTAGTCATAGTAATAGACAGGCAGTTCATTAATCTTAACTTTCAAATATGAAACATCTTGCTTTAAGAAGTTTGATCCTGAAAGAAAAGGAAAAACTGATTAGACTTGGACTGAGAAAATAAGAGAACAATGCAGCTGAAATTCCTCCAGCGTAATGTTGGAAATGTACCAGGAAATGCCGTTTAAAAATTGAGCTGGATCTTTCTAAACTTGCACTACAAGCAACTGTTAGTGCAATCTTTTTAGACAAAGCTAAGCTGCAGATTGGGTTTTGAATCTCAAAATCGTGCTGTGGCAGGACCAGTGGTAGCTAGGTTTTGTATATGCATGAAGCTGCCTAAAACGTTCAGACTTGTGTCAACAGCTAGAGCCCAAAACCCTCCTGAAAAAGCCTGGTCTCCGAGTTGTATGCAGAAGAGTGACAGACCTGCTTTTTCTTCCTTGCGCACGCATTCACTGATTTATAAAAAGTCATAGAAAACCACAGGATTTCAATAATTAACTGGGTCATCTTCACTTAAATCTTTTTCATCCTTATTCGTAATCTTGTTGATCTTTCTTTTGGCATACTGTTACTAGTATACTCGCCAGCAGCGGGGTGAGCAAAGTAAGAGCGAATTCCTCTGCACAGAGCTTGCATGCGTTTTCCGTATGGGTGCAAGCTTTAGAGTCTGTTTCTTGAGATCGTGAAGCAATTCGCAGTGGGTGGAAGTCGGTGAGGACTAGGTCCCTAAGCATCAAAGAAACAAACCCAGAAAACGGCGTTTAGAGAACCCCAAAATGGTGTTTGGGATCTGTATGCACATCTTTGATAATGGAGAAGGGGTTATTCAAGTGCAACGTGGCTTTTGGAAGACTGGACTTGTGGAGCGACTGAGCCCTGCTGAGAAACTTGTCTTCAGTTCTTGGAGTCTTCCCTCCTCTTTGCGGGTAGGGAGCGAGTACCTTTCGCAGGCGATTGATTGCTCACCGCTTTCATTCCCCATCCTACCTTGCGTCCTTGAGGTAGTGCAGGAAACCGTTTATCAAGCAAAAAACTCTTGTCCATTTTGGCAATGATGCATGGGTTTTTTTTGAAAATACCTTGGTTGCAACGTAGCCCTATTAAAATAACAAAAGCTTTTTGTTGCAAACAATATACGGTGAAAGATAAGCGGATTGCCAGAGAGAAGCACTGGGTTAAAAAAAAGGATTTATACAGTACAAATAATCATAGGGAAGGAAAATATTGTTTTTTCAATTATATCGTCTAGGTAAATGTGTCATGGAGGCTGACAAGGGACTTTGGTAAAAGGTAAAGTAAACTGCCTTCTGCGGTAATGCCACGTGTATCATACGTTATACTGCTTCAGTCAGGTGAAGGAATTCACTGCTGAAAGCATCAGTGCAGCATGCAGTACGGCAGATACGATAAAATGGTTAAATGAGAACAGTTTTAAGCATCTCCTCTAAAATCCTGTTAAGTTTTGCTGAAGCTTAGGTGTGTTTCAAAAACCTTTTGGTTATTTTCCATTTGTTTGAGCCATGGTGGCAGCCACTTCCAGCCTTCCCATCCCAGACGGATTTCCAGGCCTCGGAGCCCTCCTTTGAGTCGGTGCTGACCCCAGTGTCAGTGGTGTGAGTTTTCACCGTGGCACCCCTTCAAGTCTTTCTTGCTGTTCTGATTTCTGAAAAAGATTAAAGTAGGTAAGGGTTTAGGTTTGTGGATTCCCAACAGTCTTTCAGTCAATAAAGTGATAGCTCTAGTAACCATGCTTTGGAAAACTATTGCTTTTAGAGATCAGATTAAAGGGGAGAGAATTCCAGGCCTTAGAGGGGAGGCTAGGGAGCCATTAGTACTGTTGTGTCACGCCTTACATTCAGGCTTTGTCTCGCCAGCGTTTTCATGTGTCTGATGCATCCACCTTAAGAAGACAGACAAGCTTTCATATTACTGCTCTATTCCCCGCTCCAGGTGGAAAACAAGACATTTTTTCATGTAACCACTGGAGAATTTCCTTTAAAGAGTAAACTGGATGTTTGGAGTCAAACTTGCAAGAAAAATTTCTAGGAAAAGTAAAATAATTCTTTCCCTTGATATATCAAGCACTGAAATATTTTCTTTGGTATTAAAAAAAATGCAGTTTTGTGCTAAGTATCAGACTTTAAAATACAGCTTTATTTTCAGAAACGTATTTTTCAGAGGCTGTAGGTAAAGACTACTAGTTCTTACGGCAGCAGTGTATAATTGCATGTAGCTCTATACTTACCCACTAGCAAGAGTCAGGAAAACTCCAAGAGGAGAAGCAATCGCAATCTGAAACAAACATCTGAAATTCACAACATTTGAACATTGTGACTGCTTATCTTGCATCAGGTTATTTGCTGTCTTAAAATAATTTCGACTTCCTGTTTAACTTTGGGTACATGCTCAGCACTTTTCTGAAGTGGGGTCTAGCTAGAGAGTATTTAAATATGCAGAATTTTTTTGTTAATGAGCTTATGTCAGATCATCAATTCATATAAATTACTCTTGTCCTCAGCAGTATGCTTTGCACAGGTAAGATCATTTAAACACAGCGAGTTTTAAAATATGTCCAGCCCCAGTTCAGTAAACTCCTTGCTGATATATTTTTGAGAGATTTAAGATTGTTATGATGATAAATTCTTTTGTGATAGTTGTTGTGAACAATTATTCTCTTGGGGACAATCCCGCTAATATTGAATCGTTCACAAATTTCATCCACTTCAAAGGAGGATTTTTATGAGAAGGATCCAAGTGTGACTCAGAGTATTTAGCACTAACATTTTGGAATTTATCCTGCAACAATTTCAGGCTGCTGTAAATACCCCTGCTTCACAGTCAGGCACTTGGAGCCTTTCATGGTTCTTCACCTATGCTCTCGTCAGGCAGCTGTGCCATAGCTTTCTGTAACTTGCTGAGACTGTTGACTTGCATCCGAGTTGTGAATGGAAGAATATTGCCCTTTCAACGTTTTACATGTGCGTCTCGCCCTTGTAACGGAGCACTTCTCTCTTTCACGGTTGGGTGGGCCTACAGAGTGAAGTCACTGCCAACAGTGAAATTTCACCCATGCAGTCCTGACCCATTTGGCGTTTTTATTCTGTAATCCCTACCTAAATCAGTAATAGTTCACTAGGTGCCAAGAAAGACTCAAAGTAATTTTAAAACCGTCCAGCCTTAACAGTTTTAAGAGAAAGCGATCCTTACAGTGAGCTTCATTTTGATGGTAAGCAAGGCAGGATCTGCTGGTAATTGATGTGTACTCTTACTTTTCATACAGTAATATCCCAAAGTTAAATCTTAAAATGAGTTTACCTTATTGGCATGTGCCCTTTGTTCGCAGAATCGTGATGGGTTTCCTGGGGAAGTGCTCTGATAAGAGGAGGCTTTGATACCAGCCTGAGTGAATTCATTACATACATGAAGATGAAAGAAAACTTGTCATGGTAAGTTCAGCGTATTTTATAGTAACCTTTAAATAAAATTAAAAAAAAAGCAGAACCAGAGAACAGTTGTCTAATAAAATTTGTAGTGAAGTTTTGTGCCTACGTGGCAAAGGAGTCAGCCTGATACTTTATCCACAGCTGATACCATCTTCTAAATCAACGGAGGTGGTAATCTTGCTATGTGAAAAATGTTGAGTCAGTCCCCGGCAATCATGAGGTTGGTTCTAAATCATAGAATTTACTGAGTTCTTTTGTTAACCTTCCTTTCTGAGCTTGCTCAGTTAGGATCTGCTTTCCAGTCTTCGGGCATGGCCTCTGTATCTTCATGGAGCCTCTTCATGAAAGTAGTGCCTGATGACAGACTAAGGGCTAATTCTAGAAAGGGACCATAAACTG